TGGGGAAGAGATCCATCCAAACTGGCCTTCTAATTTTAGCCTTTATATAACATTTATTTGTACGGCATTTATTTGTTGGCTTGCTTATTCACATGGTTGTTTCCTGCCCTTTCAAATAGATTCTGGGTTGCTCTCATCAAGCTAAACATTTCTCAACAATAAATTAAAAACTCTCAATATTTTAACATAATATTTAAGATTAAAGTTAAAAATTGAAATTGAAATAGCCTTGCACCACAGATATCTCAAGATCCAGATGCTCAACAGAATAGCCAGTTTTAACTGTTTCCCTGAAATAATAAAAGGAGGGGCATGATGGCACCCACAATTTGGGTATAAAATGCTAAAGCAGCTTTTACCTGCCTAACTGCAAGCTGCTGCATTCTGTATCAACTTAAGTATCCAGGTAGCCTTCAAAGTAATCCAATGGACACAAGTTAATATCACTCTAAAAGGGTCTGCAGCTAGGAGAGAGCAAAGGCTCCTCTGACCACAGACTCAACCAGCTGATCTAGTAGGAGAACCTGCAAGCCATAGGCCTGCTCCATTAGAGGGAGCACAACCCCATCCACAGACAGTATAGTGGCCAGTCACAAAGTGATGGTTTCTGAATGAGCAGAACTCCATTTATCTGGAATTGAGTTTCAACCTGATTCATCCCACCCAATCCCCTGCTAATTCATACCTCCTGCCTGGTCCAGGGTAGAGATATATACAATTGGGTATCAACAGCATATTCGCAATAATGTACCATAAACAGACAAATAACTTCACCCAGGAATTTCATATAGATGTTAAACTTCATGGGAAAGAGGAATGTTTTGTGTCACCTTAAAAACCTAGCATTGATGATGGCATAAATTTCCATCGATAAGGCCCTTCTTTATCAATTGCACAAAATAATCTCCTCTCAACATGTTCCATCTTGCCCTCTAAGGATGACACTTGCTATCCTAACGAGATAGCTCTCTCTTCGCCTCGCCTATCTAGACTTCGCTTCTATCCATTTTTTCAAATTCTCCTGCTCCGTCCCCATGCGCTGGATTTCAATTCCCATAATACCTAACTAGCATGTGCCAGAGTCCTTGTAACAGGGGGCACACACACTTTCCTGCTCCTGTTCTTTCTGTATTTATCAGCCTTGTAACTAAGAAACCTATATTATTCATTTGGACAATGTTATAGGCACAATGTTGCCATTGTATACATGATAATCCACAATTTGAGGAACACCGTAATGCATAGAAAGGGATCTCTTGCGCTCATTACACAGATTAGTAAGGAAAAAAAGATGAGGGAAATAGATTTGCTTCTTATGTGTTACATGTTCTGGTTAACTAGCTACACATATCTGCCAGTAAAGAAGCCTTCATTATTCTGGTAGAAGATTTTGTGTCAGACATTTATTTAGGTTGATTTTTCAGGTGCTGGAGAACATATGTTTCACACAGTGGGCTTACACACCAGCCAATCCCAGCCAAATGCAGTTTCTTTTCACAGCTACTTGTGACAACATTCTAATTCATAAATTTTGTTCTTTCTGCATTCACACAAATTTCTGCAAAATGCAGGAGTTTCATATCTGATATAAAACATAAGTATCCTTAGCCACAATCAGATATACTGCCTAGGACAACATGCAATATAAAGTCATGCCTACAGATGCAACCATTGGGCATGTTGTTCAGCAAATTCCAGAGGATGTGATGCTGCATGAAAGCGCTGATACGGTAACAAACAACTTTTGCTTGTTCCTAGCAAGCCTTAAAGGATCCTGTTCTGCAATCCCCTTCCCTCCTTGGCCCACTTGGATTCTGGCACCTGCTCCTCCTAGCAGATTTACACTAATTCTTTCTTCACATTCAACAAAGCTGGAGCTCAGAGCCAGCTATGGGGGTGCGGGCGGGGGGTGG